GAACTGGGGCAATAAAAAATATTAATGAAGAATTAAAACTCTCCTTTACCAAGCATGCGCCGGGCTTGTCTCCTCTCTTGTCAACAACTGCAAGAAATACCTGCGCCCAATCTCATCAATTATTCGCACTTTATATTTAGTCAATTCTAAAGAAAAAAAAAAAAAAAACTGAGATATTTTGGCAATCATCTTCGTACCTGAGCTTCAGAAACATTTTTAAGGAATTTGTGGTAAGGCTTTCATTTGGCAACCACTCTTAGAGAAAGTTATGAAAGAAATCGATTCCTCATGAATTGATTGTCATCCTAAAAAATATTGATACTTCATGAAGTCACATGATATGATTTTCCAGTTTATTTTTTCGATTATATTGATTACAATTATTGTATAAATAATATTTGCAACTTACGATCAATACAGAACGTGTCTAAGTATGACTTCAATATTTATAGTTATTTACATATTTCACAATTAATCAAAAGTCTTTGAAGAAAAACATTTACAAAGGTATAATTGTTACGAAAAAGATATATATCCTTGAAGAAATAAATAATAGTAAATAAATAAGCAATAGTAATAATAATTATTATTGTTATTCGCTGAAACATTACTCAAGAGGACTACCCAGATCGACTACTGTTCTCACTCTGGCCTACTTCTATATCTCGACCTGTCTCAGTTTCTGGGGCTGCAGTGTCATTTAAATTACCTTGGTATAAAAGCAGTTACATAAATCTCGCAGGTGTAAGGCGAACTGCTCACTAAATAAAATGAAGTGGTAATCGCATTATAACTTCGCCTGTCTTTCGCAATCCTCTAGCCAGTCCTCCAATGTTCCAATCTTAATATTTCCTCCTATGCCACCTTTCTCTTTGCGAATATTTACAATCCTGCCTGGTTGGACACTCCGACGAGTCCACAAATTGACGTTGATATTTCTGTTTTGGATTGTAAATGATTTGCGATTGTGGATACATCCTTAAAGTTCGCATTATTTATACAATGTTTACCGGCTAAACTTGGGAAATCAATTGGACAGGTCGCACCAAAATGTGCCGTTAAATTTATATATGAAAAAAAAATCCAATTATTAACTTACGATTCTCAATTATCCCCTCCAATTATTACAGATTTATAAAGACTGCAAAGATGTCGATTATACCATTAGTATTAAATTCCCAGATGAATATTTTTGTCTTTAACTTTTGAAATTTAATTCTATATTAATGTTTAACTTGTATGTGTTTAGCTTGTATAACTTTGTAAAACAAGCAAACGACTTTTTAAAAAAAAAAATACCAATTTTTTTTACTTCTACCAAAAATTAATTATTAAAATAATTTTCTAGTCACATCCTTCAGGTTTGATGCCATTTTCTCATAATTTTTTATATATCTATTTTAGACCAAATGTAACCAAATATACACAGTTTTATTTATCTCCTATATTCTTTAATCAACGTTTCGGCTTCAGGAGCCATTTTCAAGATCCATGCACCGCGCCATAAATACAGGCATTCATACAGGACTCTTAAGAGAGAATCCTGTATGAATGCCCTAGTGAGGAATAACAATTTCTTGATACCGTCTGCAAATAGAGAAATGGAAAACGACATTCTTTGAAACAAAAGAATGACTTAATGAAGAATCATATCGCAATGATAGATTTAAAAATTTTATGGCGCGCGGTGCATGGATCTTGAAAATGGCTCCTGAAGCCGAAATGTTGATTAAAGAATATAGGAGATAAATAAAATTGTGTATATTTGGTTACCTTTGGTCAAAGGTATCTATTTTTTTTTTTTTTTTTTTGTGTTTAGCTTGTATAACTTTGTAAAACAAGCAATGTAGGAGGGGTTAGTGTGTGAGCTAAGGGAAATAATTCAATTATCCCATAATAATGGCTCATTTTATTTTTCTCGAAATAAATTCAAAAAGGGCATACCAAAAATAAAATATTCAGATTTAATTTTAATGTTCATTTTCTCTTATTGAAAGAACACTTTAGAACACTTAGAATAAAATTTTCTAAACTACAATAAATGGCCACTAAATAACAAATGAACCTTAATATATATCTGAGATACAGTAAAAGGAAATTTAACTGAACATATTATATTCAAATCTAACAGAAACTGGGATTAAAAAAACGATAAATGATAGATGATAGATATTCAGCATTCAAGTCAATTTTTTGTAATTATTGTATAGTCTTTGTTTCAACCAAGACGTGTTGTAGGATAACTGATTTTATTAAGTTGTAAATAAATTAAGTAACGTTCCTTTACTTTAGAATTATTGTGTGATCTTTTGATGCACTCACAGTTGGTGTGTATTTTGGGTGTGATTTAAAGAGAAATGTTTGGAAAAATAATAATACACACATACCAACCTATTTTCAGGTGTTTTAAAAATTATGAAAAGTTTCTATGGTGCCATATCTTTTAAAGAAATAAAAGGCTTCTTTCAGTTTGAAAGAATTTACCGAAATCGATTTTGATTAACTCATGCATTAAAATGAAGATTTTATCTTCTTCTTTGGCAAATTTTTTTTCTTTGAACTTTTTTTGAGTTCTCGGGTTTAATTAGCCGTTACGTATCACACAAGCTATAATAATTAATTAGAAGACATTATATACATAGTGAACTACGACTGAGACATCACATTTTTTCCCTACACTTTTCTTGATCAATGAAGTAAGAACTCCTTGTTTGTTCCATATTTACATGAGGAAGATAAAACTATTTGTAGTATGTCTAAAAACGCTTTACAACAGAGCATGTGCGAAGTCAATTACTGTAACTAAAAGGAGCTTTTATTGAATAACATCAGCCGATAAATGCTTTTGAATATTCATGAACTAAACTCTATCCATTGATTATTCGTTAATGGCTAGGTTTAAATATTTTAGATAAAGTAATATTTTGCCGCCTTACGGCATGTCGATCATTCCCAATTATATCGGTATCGAATTAGTGGAGCCTATATTTTAGAATGCAAATTCATTTATAGCTGCTTGTTAAACAGAACGAGTTCTCTTAAATTCTTCTACATAAGAGCATAGAATAAAAACTTATTAATTTTTATTTTAACTCTATATTTTACAGGTATAGATGCTGTATATTACAATTCAATACCATTTAATATAGTATATATTTATATTACTGTAACAAAGTAAAATATGGATAGATTCAAATGAATACTTCATTTTTTTTTTGTTGCGTTTACTTATGCCAAATTTATGTGGAAGTTTCTAAGAAGAAGTTTCAGACATTTATGCACTCAATCTTTGATCAAAGATATAATTTTTTTTTCTTTTCCCAATACATATTTTTCTAAATTATTATTCAATTCTAAAAAGCGATTCACATGAACGAGGCATAGTATAATTTTCTCTAATAATTAGGTTGCAATACCTCGCATTTTTTTTAGGATCTAAATAAAGATTTGACAAAAAATGTATTGATTTTAATCAATCGATACGAAATCAAGATACGAACATCTTTAAAGAATTATACTACAGAGGGAATTGTGGGTTGATGGTTTACTGTAGTGAATTAATGAGGATGGTCGGGGTGATCAGTCGAAAAAAAAATTTCAAAACTAAATAATAATATTTATTTTTACATTTGCCGACGTTTCGGCCCGAAGTTTAGGTCTTCATTAGGGCTGAGAAAAGAACCAGGTAACAATTGTATGAGAAACATAAACGGTGTAGGAAGATGGAGTGAAATGAATTAGATAGAGTGAACATTAAATTAAAATAAAGTAGGTAGAATAATAACAGAGAATTAATAAATAATAATAACGGCTACAAAGTGCGGTCTAATGAAGTAGACATAATCAAAATTACCTTATTACCATAAGAACTAAAAATGGTAATCTCAGAATAAAATGCAAAACAAGGAATATGAAGTTATATAAGGAAATAATAGATACAAATAAAAAATTGAGATATTGTAAAATCTATCAAAATATACTGATTACCTGTAAGATAATAAAAAGTTAAAATAATGTAAACAAAAAATAAATGAGCAAGTGATACAGAGCAATTAATACAGAGGGAATAAATGAATAACTAATAATTCAAAACAATTATGAACGAAAATGTGGCTTATGGAAGAGCGCAAACAACCAATCCTTATTAAAAATATTATCCAATGAATTCTAGCATGAAAAAAATTAAGTTCTAGATAAATTAAGCGAGTTAATTCATTTTTCTCTTATTTCTCTTTTTTATTTACTATTCTACCCTAATTTTTATATTTATTTGAATTTATTGGTTTTAGTTCTTTCTAATTCAACAATCTTTACAAACAAATTTATCATAATTTTTTTCATCTTCCCGTTTTAACTCTCAGAGAAATATATTATTGAATCGATTATTTTAGAAAGACACATTTATTTAATTTTTCTAATTTCAAAATAAAGCAAAATAAAACTATTTTTATTGAACTTTAAAAAAAAATATTTCGTAAAAATAAATGATTTATTCAATGTATTTTCTCGCATTAAAAGATTAATTTATGAATAATACACCCAGAACAAATATCAACTCAAGACTGATAAAAATTACCCATTTGCTGTTTTTGAAATAACCGGTTCAATTGATGGCAAATTCCATCTTATCTTACCGTGTTAATGTCATTTTGATATGGTAGTGCAAATAATAGAATTGGAATCTGTTTAATCGTTTTTAAGCGTTTTAATCGCAATACACTCCCTGGAATGCTAAGGTAAAAGGAAATCCATATTTGAAAATGACTGAATTTAGATTTCGAAGAAAAATTATATGAAGGTTATCTATCTGTTCTATTACTCATAATTTTTTCTATATAAGAAAGAAAATTATATTTTTTATTTATTTGTTGACATCAACCATTGTTTTAAATGAATACAACTAGTAAATATGAACAATGACATGATCAGGCTTCTAGAGTTACTAACCAATGGTAGCACTTCCTTAATAGTTGCAAGTAAGAAGGCCATCTTATTTTCAGGCATCCAGCAGGGTTCGAATCGATGAGGAAGTAAGACAGGAAACAAGTAGGTTCGAATTGGTTTGAAGCATAGATGGGCATAATCATAATCAACGATTATGATTACGATTACGATTATAATAAAAAAGATCACAATTATTTGATTACACGATTGTAATCGTAATCACGGTTTTTGATTTTGATTATAATCGCGTAATCACGTAATCGTAATTATGTAATTATAATCATTGTAATCAAAATCACTGTAATCGTAATCGTGTAATCATAATCGCGTAATCGTAATCAAAAAATCAAATACACACGATTTTCCTATTTTTAGAGATAGGCTTAAAGGAAAACAAGAATAAAACATTTTCTTTAGCTGCCGGGAGTACCTTCTTTGTAAATAACGTCGGTTAACATTTAATATTTTCCGGATTTCCATTCACTTTTCTTCTTTTATCATGTGGATCGATGCTCGGTTTTTCACCGTTCCAACACTTTTCCGGCTATATTGATGTAGGCGAAAATGGAGAATTAGTGTAGAAATTTTTCCGAATTTCCACTTGTTTTTCGTCTTTTATCTCGTGTATGCATGCTAGGTTTTTCTCCACTCCAACAGTTTGCCAACTAGGTAGATGTAGGCAAAAATAGAGAATGAATGCAGAAAATTTTCCGGATTTCTATTTGCTTTTCCTCTTTTATCTCGTGAATGGAGTCTCAGTTTTTCACCGTTCTAACCATTTTATAACTGTTTAGAGGAAAGCCAATGGAAACGGGAGTGGTACAAATTTGCCGAATTTTCATTTACTTTTCCTCTTTTATCTCGAAAATAGAGGATCAGGTTTTTCACCATTCCAACAGTTTCCCGGCTATGTGGTGGTAGGCAAAAACGGAGAAATGGTGAACAAAAATTTCCGAATTTCCATTCTCTTTTCCCATTTTATCTCGTGAATGGATGCTCGGTTTTTCACCAACACATTTCCGACTATATAGATGTTGAAAAAAATGGAGAAATAGTGTAGAAAATTTTTCCGAATTTCCATTCGCTTTTCCTTTTATCTAAATCTCTAAATCTTTTATGTTAGGAAAAGTGAATGAAAATTGGAAAATTTTCTTCAAAATTTCCCCATTTTCCTTTACCTCTACAAAGCCGGAAAACTGTTGGAACGGTGAAAAACTGATCCTTCATTTCCAAGAAAAAATAGGAAAAGTTAATGAAAATTTGTACCACTCCTGTTCCCATTGGCCTTCCTCTAAACAGCTATAAAATGGTCGGAACGGTGAAAAACCGATACTCTATTCACGAGATAAAAGAGGAAAAGCGAATGAAAATTCAAAAAATTTTCTACACTAATTCTCCATATTCGCCTACATCAATATAGCCGGAAAAGTGTTGGAACAGTGAAAAAGCGAGCATCCATTTACGAGTTTAAAGAGGAAAAGCGAATGAAAATTCGGAAAAATTTTCTACAATAATTCTCCATATTCGCCTACATCAATATAGCCGGAAAAGTGTAGGAACGGTGAAAAACCGAGCATCCATTTATGAGTTTAAAGAGGAAAAGCGAATGAAAATTCGGAAAATTTTCTACACACTATTCTTATTTCCACTTTTCTCTACATAGCCGAAAAGTGTTGGAACGGTAAACACCTGACCCTTCACATTCATGAGATAAAAGATGAATAGGGAATAAAAATTAGGAAAATGTTAATCGGTAAACCGACGGTATTATCATAGAAAGTGGTCCCGGAAATTAAAAGAAAATAGAAAATGTTTTATACTAGTTTTTCTTTTAGTCTATTTCTAAACAGAAGAAAATCGTGTGTATTTGATTTTTTGATTACGATTACGCGATTATGATTACGTGATTACGATTACAGTGATTTTGATTACGTGATTACATGATTGTAACCGTAATCAGGTTTATGATTACGATTGTAATCATGTAATCAGGTAATCGTTTCATACTTATAATTATAGTGCTACTGTATCAAGTATAAAATTGGTGTGGTCATAAAGTTTTATTTTCAGTTGTAATTATGTAATCATTGATTACGATTTTGCCCATCTCTGGTCTGAAGTTTATCATTAGAGGTTTTATAGAGTTTATCATCAATAAACCGGTCTGTATGACTATTCTTATTTTTTATAAAACATGAAACATTAAGGATTTTATGAATGATTCAGGATTGCAAGGATTGGTTACGATTAGGTGGTTTGGTGGAGCTTCAAGGTTTGGAAGAATAATCCTAGTTTCTCTTTAGATTACAAAAAATATTTCTTTTCTTCACTTTAGATAATTTTCTTTTTGTTGTTCCTAAATTTGTCCTATAAATATAAATCCATAATTTTATGGATATTCTACCTTAAAGATCGCCTTGGATATACATTTTTTTTTTTAGTTCATTGGTTAATTTCAGACAACGGTGCATTCTTCAGAAATTTCTGCTCGCCATAGTAAATATTTTGGTTTGGATGTTATTGTCAAAGAAGGATTGTAGAAACATTGCTGTATATATTTTTCTCAGGTGAGACTGAGGCTCGGGCGCCATAAAAACGGCCATAAAACGACATGCCGGTAATGGACCGAGTACCAGACAATGCTCCACAGAACAATACCACACCAGAGACTGAGGAGGGCACAAGAGGACATCAATGAGGGGAGAATCGTCCAATCTTTATGCTGATGCACTTTACCAGCTCGAGTATCTTCAAATTTCTTTGAATGATATATATGTATATATTTCTCGGGATTTTTATTTTAATAATAAAGCATTATAATCGACCAAGAAAAAAAAGATTAACCTCCGCTTCTCCAACATTAAATTCACCAAAGAATGATCCCAACTGGACGTTACCATCCACCCTTTCCTTTCAATGAATGACAGCCAAAAACCTTCTGTCTTTATCACCGAAACGGCTTGATACATTTTAATGAAGCTTGCTTTAAGTCTTCTTTTCGAAGCTCTTTAAAATGATATACATAGGATACCTCCGCAAAAAGTAGCATAAAAGAAATTAGAAAAAAAATTATGATAAATGCAAAATTTTATTAGTACATTACTTACGTTTTCCAGTTTTGGAAGATAGTAAAAAATTAAAACAAATCAACGAAATCGGGTAACATGGTGACGAGATACGGCGCACAATGTCTGAGAGCGGCAAAAACCGCTATTTTCAAGGTGTTATGATAGTTCAAATGTTTATGTTTTTAATGTCTGATATAATTAACTCATATATTCCTAAAGGCATGAATAAGAATACCAGTTTCCAAGATTTTCAATGAAATATAAATAAAAAGCCAGTTTCTACCACATCAATAATGCAAATATGTTGTAAATCATTAAAAATATTTTAGGCATTTTTAATGATTTCTCATCATATTTATTGTTGTTTAATTTGTTGAAATGAGTCAAATAAGTTCTTAGATAATCTCTTTCTTAATAAATTCAAAAATTTTCATTGGATAATTTATCACTCAACGGATCCTGAAAATTCGTTTTTTCTTCGGAAAGTATATCGCCCCAACGACCGCCAAGGTCTTACTGTAATCAAAATATTCTTTGAACCATCTGCTAATGAATACAAAAATCAACTGCGGTAATTTGAGGTTTCGGTATTTATTTGGCGAATTCAGTCTAGCAAGTTACACCAAAAACGAGCAAAAAAAAAAAAAAATTCCTACCTGTATATAAATAAATTTATACCTAATATAATTTATTCCTTTTCGTCATAGAAAAATGGAGGAAACGTATAGAAACAAGATAACTGAATGAAAATGTGAAGGTAAAGATTGAAGATAGATTCAACCAATTTCATGATTCATAATTGATACTGGGGCATTGTTTTCAGCCCTATGGATAATAGAGCTACTACGGATTTGGTTTCATCTTCATTTAGTTGTGGGTTGGTATGTTCTTCTTTTCTTACCACTATGGCCCCATGATGATAATATAGGTAAGATTCGGTAAACAACCTTATACAATAAATTTTGATTTTTACAAAATATTATAAGCAAAATATATTTTATTTTTTCACAATTAAGGCAAAAAAAAAAAACTTCCAATTTTCTTCATATCCCTTTATTCAGAGCTTCCGGGCTGAAGCCCCTCTCCCCAAAAATGGGAAAAGATAACAATGTTTTACAAAAAAAAATATTATAAACTATCTCTTAAAGTATTCTTGTTCGTGTAATTACATGTAATAACCACTTAAAGAACCACTTAAACTCCATTTCATATAGGTAGTTAATTTCTTCCTTTTTTAAAAAAATCAATTATCGTTATATGTATATGAAAAAAAAAAATCTTTCGGGCTTCTTCCCAATCTTATTCCAAAATCTTCCCAAAATTAAATCCTGGATCCGCTAGTGACTGTTGTATCGACTTTGCAGATTTATTTTGTTTTATAACTTGGAAATATCATATCTTCAGATGCAGTCGAGATTGTTATTTGAAGAATAATATGTTTTAAAAAAAAAATATTTTAACGAAAAATGAAAAAAATCATAATGAGGTAATCTTTCATTTTTTCCCAGAAATGCAACATATATTTGATATGTAACAATTTGGAAATAGTAAACTATTGTGTAATGATTAGTAGCGATTTTATTCTTGATTATCTCTTCAAAATTAACTATTATTTATCAAAAATGATATCAATGTTTTTAGCTTGCATATCGTAAATAATAATAAAAATTAGGCAGTAATTTCATATGAACTTCGAAATAGTTTTAGAAATAAAATATTTTAATAAAATAATTAAAAGAATGTGTATATATATATATATACACACATAACAATTCCTATTTGTTATACAGTCGCATCTTGGCAAGAACCTAGTGCTCTATGCCGCCAATACCGATTATACCGTTTGGGAAGTAAAGGATCCGTCCCGCTACAGTGAGAGATGAAGCCGTACTAACGGATCCTGTAGCAGATAGAATGTTCTTCAGCGCTGGCTATAATAGATTATGTTTAGTATAGGGACCCAGCTCCATAAAGCCTCGACTTATCCCAAGGTATATTATGGGCATTTGTCAGGAAGTGAAGTCTCTCTCTGTTGAAAAGACTTGCTTGACTTTACTGTT